CTTTATGATAAATTCAAGTGATATGTAATACGGTATTAATTTTGTGTTGATTTTATTAATGTTAATTTCATCAAGAAATATGAAAAATTAATATTTTAACTATACATAGTGAGGCATTTTTTGTGTGGAACGATTATTTTGGGGTTTTCACGATTTTTTCATATGGTACACATGATGAGTAAGTGCAATAAATATAATTTGTGGGGTCTGTCCACAAGTACCTGTTGTCAAGCCCGTAGAAAACAATTACAGTTTTTTTGGGAAGGGGGGGGGGGGCAAATAGAAATTTCCACAGGTACTTGTACTCGATTTTTTCCTATGGTACACATGATGAATAAGTGTAATAAATATAATTTGTGGGAAAAAATGTCCAACAAACATTGGGGTTGAATTTGGGGGGGGGGGATCCTGTCCACAAGTACCTGTGGAAATTTCTTGATACATAAACAGAATTTAAAAGCATGTATTAGACATCTTTTGAAGGGGAGAGGGCACGGCCGTAATTAAAAGTTATATAGAGACTAGGAAGGAATGAACTGTCATTAAATTTTGGTTAAGAACTATTACCTAAACTCTTCACTTTCACATTTTCAATTACAGATTCTTGTTTTTAAAAAGCTATACATGTACATTTATATGTATCTATTAGATGCATAAATTATGTTATTAATCATTTTATCTTAAAGGAAAAGTAAAAATCTCAATCAAACTTGTTCCGCATATTATGCTCTCTGATTCATTACTCAACAGATGCTTCATATACATGTAAGAAGGGAAGACTGCAGACTGCAGGTGTGATAAATTCACAGCATGCAGCTCCAGCCTTAATTCCAACTTTGTTCCAAAATATTATTATTCAACGCGAAAAATTAGAATTAGCCGATAGAATATTTTGAATCACTTCGGAAATGCTGCCGTAACACCAGACTGAGTTCACAATATCGAGTGATTTTGATTGACAGGTGTAGCGCCGTTGTGCATGGATTTCGTGTAACTATACATGTACTGCAGATTGTGGTTGAAAATAATAAACAAACAGATCTAAAGAAAAGATATTGTATACTATACATATATTTGTTAAGAACCAGTTCATTCATGAAACGAATTTAGTCGTATTATGTGGGCCCATGTTAGATTTGACAGGTTGATTTACTAGTAGAAATTCAATGGACCACCGTCATTTAGGGTATTCCGAATCACCCCGCACATCGCGACTCTCGGTAATTTACCTTACCGCTGTACCTCGCACGACACATGCACAGGTGTGACAACCAAACAGTCATTATTAGTAAGGTCTATACTTATTGCATACAACAAATAAAGAGGTAAACATAATGCGTTAACTAAAAGAATTAATTATTTTAATTCATTAACTTCCTATCCTTTTCGAAGAAAATGCCCGTGTAGAAACGTATTTCTCATCGATGTCGTGGCGTTGTTGGTGGATGAAACATGGCATATAAGGTATCGATAGAACGGCAATTTTATAAGCTTTTGTGAGTATTATTTGTTTTTTATAACACCTCAAAAATATACTAGTTATGGCCGCATTTGTAGCCCCCTACAGTTTCGAACCACGTGTGTACATGCCCCTAGCCAAATAAATTGCACACGCTACATGTATACTTGTTATATGTCAGATTATTATTTTTTTTATAACATTGTTTTTCTTAAATGCAAGGGGTATGAAAGTAATGATTTGACAAAGCAAGAGCTATAATAAGACTATCCCGGGTCCCGGTATACACTTGATCAGTGTTGATCAATGTTCATATGTACGAGTACACGTATGCAAATAATTCGATAGCTTTTGAAGATTTCAACAATACATTTTTGTAACACGCATATTTGTAATAACCACTTTATATACAAAACAAAATTTCATTCTCTTATATGGTAATATGGACGTCGTAATAAATCTGACTGAATGCTTGACATGCCTGTTTCAAAAACGTTTCCTAAGTTATCTTAAGATATGCCTAAGTTATAACTTTAGAAGTTCCTAAGATTTATCACAGCTGTATCACGAAACAATCTTATCTAAAAAAAAATTTATAAGTCATTTCTTAAGTTGTGCCTTTAAGGACTAATAAAATAACATTCCCGCTCTATATACAACTCTCAGTATGGTATATATTTTTAGATTCAAAAAGAAAGGGTGCGAGGATTAGGGATTGCCCCCACTTTTAAAGGATTTGGACACAAGTATGCTTAACTTTGCGAAGTGTTTTGCTAGATCTAAGCATTCACAGACACACCCTTTCAAGCCATCTTCCCTTCCGAGCACACGATATTTGTATTTTAATTTTTAAACATTGTTCTAGGCGTTATACATTTACTTTATTTTGTTCTTATAAGGTATCTACATGTAAATAAAATTTTAAAATGAATGCTTCGTAGCGAACACATGCGAGTTTATATTTTTCAAACAATCTTTGCCAATTACTACACTGCATGTACATGCTAGTTGTTTGTGCGGTGTAGAGCAACAATGTATTTCAACATCGAGGTGCCCGCGGCTCTCTGTGGCCACGTGTATGTAAACGAGGACTGGACTACAACACTTAAAGACACAAAGCGGCAGAGACGGATGAAACTGTTTGCTATATTACAAAGACTTGAATTATAGTACATGTATATTTGAAGGAATTTTTATTTATGTTAATGTTTATTTAATTCTATAAATAATAAATGGACATTCACAAGAGTGGTGGTAAAAATAATATGTGCGTAGCATGCGTAGTAATTACAATTATTTACCGAAGCCCCCATTCAATTACAATTGCAGATGAATTAAAATACAACAACACGGGATAGAGCAATACTTTTTTTAAATGTATTGTTGCGTGAACAGACAAAAACAGCGATTAAAATTCAAAATGATTTTTATGCACCAGTGTTTGGAATTAAGATTATAAAAGATCGGTAAAGTAATCTTACTGATTCGATATAATTAAAAACATAACTTTCCATTAATTAATAGCTCTTTGTACAAAATTGACATTATACGCGATCACAAATACTAGCTTTGTTTATGGTCACAGGTGGCTAGTACACTGGTGACCTCGATCAACAGCGTGGGATTCGCGCGTTGGGTTACATAACTAAACATCGAGCTGAACATGGAGACCGTAATATGCATACAGCTAATGATCGTGAATTATTCAATGCATACAGTTTAAAATCACTTACAAAGTTTGTTGTAATAATAAAAGTAGAAAGATAGATTTAATATTCTCCGCTTTTGAACACTATTAACCTAATTTAAAAAAGAAGAAAAGAAAGACTAGTTGTAATAAATAATTTAATAGTGAACCATAAACCACGTTTTAAACCTTATTAAAAAGAAAATTAACATTAAATACCGCAGGGTATATTATTGATAACAAGTCTGTTTAAGTTATACACATGAAGAGGTCTAATTTCCTTGCCGAATGAAAAACGTTACCTGTTTACCTGGCCTGCTTTCTAATACGTATTACGCAATACCCATGGTATACTCGAACAAAACAACATTTTCATTAGATCAAAAAGGTGTAAAAGAACAATTTTGTTCCCAAGATCCAGATCGAAATATTTACCGTTTTTGAGTTATAAAGCAAAAACTTTTAAGGGCCCAAGATCCCTAATCATAGGGGCCAGCCCCTTTTAAATAGTATAATATGAAAGCCCTTGCAATTATGCGCAACTTTTGTTCTACATGTCTTAACAAAATATTTCTAGTTTTCAAGATATAAAGGAAAATATGTCAAATTTTTTGCTGTTTTCCGCGTTCTAACTTTTGACCCCTCTCTAGCGCCATTTTTAATGCAAAAATCAAAAAACAAAAACCGATGTGCACAACTTCAATGCTTCCTCTTTTCAATTTCAAAGGGTTTTGTGCTCCAATTATAACCATTTCTGAGCCTTTGTCTGGAAATGGGAGGCATGCAAAATTCAATCAAAGGGGAATAACTCGTGAACAGAAGGTAATTTCCGAATTGTATTACGGTATTCTGACAGTGTTTTGTAAAGTCTAAAAGCTCTGAAAATTTGAACAAAATCTGTTTAAAAATGAGGAAGATATGAAGCGTCAAAGTTGGCGTCTAGGAAAAAAAAAAAAAAAGAATAATCTTAATCATCACAATCAGTAGAAGGTCTTCCGTTGGAAACAGAAGACCTTAATAAATAAATACAGTTGGTTACAGTTTCCTAATAAATATTAGGACTACATGTATAGGTCTCAATAAAATCACAAATAATAAATATTAGGACTACATGTATAGGTCTCAATAAAATCACAAATAATATATATATATATATATATATATATATATATATATATATATATGATACGTTAAAGATCTATAGACTGTAACCCCCCCCCCCCTTCCCGCCCACCACCACGCAATATATTTACGTGGATTGCTTTTTTTTATTGTTAAAGTTTTTTTTTACTCGTAAATAATTTTCTGTAGTCCCCACCCCTACTCCTTTTTGAAAAAAAAAATGATGCTACATGCCTGATACTTCTTACATTTTACAAGAAACACTCGAGAAAAAAATCATTTCAGAGATTGAACATTATATAAAATTTATATCCATTGTTTTGATATTATCAATAATTCAACGCACTGAGAGAAAAAATATATATTATGGGTAAAATAAAAGAACTTCAAACCATTTTCAAAAAATTACATTTCAAAGTTATGCCTTTATTTGAAAAATAAATAAATAAATAAAAACAAACTTATGCCTAAAACCGACCCTATTTTTCATAAGCATAAAGTAGTAAATCCATTTTTTTTCTTAGACCCACACCAAAATAAAGTAGTGTAAATTGGAATTTTGTTGGATATTATTTTATAAATAATTTTAACTTATTTTAATTTAACTTATCTAACATAATGCGTGTAGACCTATGTATTTTTTCCGCAGAAAAGTAAACATGAAACCAGTTTGCAGATTATAAATTGCGCATAAATAAGTCTACAAATTTTAATTTTTTTTTTCAAATTTAGATTCTGATTGCCTTGAGATTTTATGCCAGTGGAAGTTTTCTTCAAGTTCTTGGTGACACAACTGGGGTCGACAAGTCAACAGTCTCTCGAATCGTTCTGAAAGTGTCGCAGTCACTGGTATCTCTTGCGCCCAGATTTATTAAATGGCCAGCAGACGAGGAGCTAACCAGAATCAAGAGTGAATTTTTTAAATTAGCAGGCTTTCCAGGTGTTATAGGCTGTATCGACGGCACTCATGTGAGGATCCAAGGACCGTCAGAGAATGAACCAGCATTTGTGAATAGGAAAGGCTACCACTCAATCAATGTTCAAGCTATCTGTGATAATGCTGGTATGCAAAAATGAGATTTGATATGAAATATATACTTCTTTTTACGTAAGCTAGAGAGAGATTCTTTGTTATTGCATTTACATAATAATATAAAAATTGTTTTAATATCATTACATAGGATAAAAATTGAATATTAGTGAGTACTTTTTTAAGAACCGAAGCATATTATGATACAGTTATGATTGTGAGTTTTTCGGAAACATTTTGTACAGTAAAAGTAACCAAAAATAACCTTGGAATAACCCCCCCCCCCAATCCTACCTGGGAAACGCGCACCTCTCATGAGTTGGTCAGATAAAGATGATGGAGAGTACCTTGTTAAGAAGTATGCAACCCTTCCTAGCTGTTTCGCGTTTGGATAGTCTTTTTTTTTGTCTGATCAATATTATTTTTACTCGACATTTTTAGCACGACCCCTTACCCCTTACAGTAAAATTCATGGATCCGCCCTAGCACTGGTTAACTGTAGTTATTGTGCCTTTTTGATACAGGTAAATTTACCAACATCGTGGCAAGATGGCCAGGTAGCACACATGATAGCCACATATTTAACATGAGTGGAATAAAGCAAGATATTGAGCGGAACTTCCGCTCTATCAATGATGGCATCATATTGGGCGATAGTGGGTATGCCTGTAAACCATACCTTATGACACCATACCTCCGACCCTCCTCTCAGGCCGAGGAGCGCTTTAATACAGCGCATTCTAAAACACGCGTGGCCATTGAGAGGACATTTGGCTGGTGGAAACGACGGTTCCACGTCCTTCATTCTGAAATCAGAATGAAGCCAGAGAGAGTGTGCACAATTATTGGTAAATATATAATTCGTTAATATACTGTCATTTATAATTAACCATGCGCCTGGTACAGAGAGAAGGAAGCAATTCAGAGAGTTGTAGGTCAAATTTCAAGGTAAAGATCATAAGTCAAAGGTCAAAGTATGCACAGGTGAAATATTGAACCTTATCCTCTTTCATTTAAAAGTTTTGAGCATATTAAAGATTATGTTATAGTATAAGTGTATTTGTGACAGAGAGAAAAATTGACAGACGAATAGGATTACATGTACATCATAATCTTATATGAAATGCGTTTAAATATAGCTTGACAATGAAGTTTAAATCAAAAAATTAAAAACTTTACAATTTATGTATGCATTTGTTTCCATAACTACACTTTAGGTGCTTGTGCAGTTTTGCATAACCTGGCTATAATGTACAACGAGCCACCGATGGATGAAGATATAACTGTTAATGGAAATATACAGGGAAATTACAATGGACCCGAGGATGGAAAGAACATCAGGAATTACATCACACAACATTATTTCTAGATAGGACAGTACTTCATTGGCTAAATACTCCCATTCTACTGACGTGTTTTTATCTCTCTAAACAGAATTTTAAACAGGATTTTAAAATTTGAAGAACCTTCACTACAGAACAAGTTAAGGACCCTCTAGACTATACACTGATAATAATGTTTTTGGACACCAAGAATATTATATCGTATATAAAGGTGTAAATACTGAGTTTTATTTTTATATCATTTTCAACACAGGGTAGTAGTCTAGCCATATACAACCAGGAAAAATGTTCAAAGCCTACGATGTATTGATTGAAAGAAATCACTGTCGAGCGCGCACTGAATCGGGAAAATACATGAACATGAACACGAAGTCTTCAGTTAATTTATGAAATTGATGCTTAGAATTCTTTAAAAAAAGAACTATTTGATAACATGATTCATATATTTATTAATCTTCATTGGATAAATTTAACTCCAATCGCAATTTTTTATTCATTAATTGGTAATAAATTGTTTGCTCCTGTATCTTTTTCTTTTGTTCTACCAAAACTTCGTACTGCATTCTTGTAACATCTTCGGGCCTTATTCTCTTACGTTGACCTCGATCATTTGGAGTTCCCACTTTTTTTGACCTACAATGCACAAGGGTAAACTTTTACAGTTGTGATTGTGCATGCGGGATTGAAATTCAGCGTTAACGTATGTATGTAAATTTACCTTTTTATGATTAAGAGTAGCTTATGAAGATCTTACCAAACTAAATAAATCTATTATGTATTAGTTCATATATTGATACACGTCTATGCATTATAATGTACATTTGAAGAAAAAAAATTAAAAAAAAAAACATAATAAATTTGGGGTAATTTTATGATTAAACCATGAAATGGTGAGCAAGTTATTGTATTTTCTACGGTTGAACTGTTCATTTAAATTACTAATTTTCTAAGTTTTATTACATGCTTGACTCCACACATGTCTCCATGCTTGTGGCTGCAGTACTAGTTTTATTTTCTATGCTGGTTATTTCTTCCACCATCTGATCGGGCGAGCAATGAGTCTCCTGGATTGGTGTGACTTGTTCTGGCTGAAGTTTTAATTCATTTTGCTGGTGGTCAAGTGGAATCAGCAGATCAGTAAGAATTGAGACGGTATTTGGCGAGCCAATCAAATTGATGTTGCTTTCATCTTTGGTTACAAGTAAAAAAAGAAAAGAGATAATACTAGTACTACAGTATACCATAAAGGTTTTAGATTGACATCATTTCAAACCACCCTCATTGCCATGCGCAGACCTGGGGGGGGGGGGGGGGGGTCCAGACCCCTTTGAAGTTCTTTGGAAGAGTCATACATGTATATATATGAAGCTTGAGAAGCGAAGAAAAGACGCTCAAACAGCCCCCCTCCCCAACTTCATGTTAATTTTGCGTTCTAAATTTTAATTCAACAAAACAAATTAAATAAATTATAATGAGAGTAAAAATGAATTTGATGCCCGCATAAATTAATTTTTGCTCTTACCAATTCTAATCAAGTCAATCGTTGTCATTTGCACACCTGTGAAAACTACTGTAAGCAAAGGAAGAAAACTCCAATTTGTTTGTTTATACTGCCTGACCCTTTCAGAACCTCTTCGCAGAATTATATTACCGGTAAATGTTTACTATTACTTTACACAATATTTCTTATGACGTATAGATGATTTTGCAACTTGATTCCGATAAACTTATATACCCCCCCCCCCACCGAAAATTAAAAAAAATCAAACCCTTATTTATCAATCCTTGTATCTGGTCCATATAATATTTAATATAAGTAATTTGTATTTTATATTTCTTGCAAATTGAGAACTTTCACTTACCAGGTGCCTGAGTCTCGAATCCGGATAATCCATTAAAAGTTGGAGAATCTTTGTAGATATCAACGATCTTTTCGCTGACTGTCGAAAGAGGTTTTGCGCAGGGTCCTCCCCCTGTTTGTCTCTGTGAAAGTTTGTTGTAGCTGAATTCCTTTTTTGCCGTCTGATGCATATTGGTCCATTTGGTTTTAATCTCTTTAGTAGTGCGACTTGAAACTCCTAACGCATTTATTTGCGCTGTTATATTATCCCATACTTTTTTCTTTTTCTCATTGGTAACACTATTGGTTAGTTTGCTATTAATGATGTTAATATTTCTCTCAACCAGTTCGGCTAAAAGTTGAATTTCGCTAGAATCAAAATTTTTCCCCCGATTTCTATTACATTTAAATTGAATTCCTTCGGTCATTGTAGCACAATTTTTTATGAAATGACGTTTCTTTATGTTATAACCTTCAAGACGCTCACAGACTTCATAAAATGACGTAATTTATTTTTTTGCGTCATAATTAAAAACCGCGACCATTTTGGCGGACTTTTAATTGGTCTTATAAGCTCATTTATTAAATAATTGGTACGTGTATATGTTAAACAAAGGAAACGCCCACGGAAACGCCCCCGGAAGTGGTAACGCAATGCATTGCGGGATATTACCCTAATGTTAGTAAATCTTTAATGAATTCTTAAAATATTTAATGATTCATTAACTAATAAGACTCTAATAAAGGTTTTGTACAACACGTTTTAATGCCTTCATTAACTAATGCATCATTAGGAATTTAATGATTCATTAGGCTTAATAACTCATTAAAGTTAATAAACCGTTGATACAACCGAATCCAGGAGCATAGAAGATTTTCAAAGAATTAATACAATTTTACTATATAATCAATAGAGCCCCGCCCTAACACCAGAACCCCTGACCCAGGGGCCATAAAATTCACCATTTCTGATAAGGCAGCCATGCTCATCATAACTATGTTCTTAGTTTATTTAACATCCAGGAGCAAAGAAGATTTTCAAAGAAATAATGCATTATCACTATATAATCAATAGAGCCCCGCCTTAACACCAGAACCCCTGATTCACAATTTGGGAAGAGGCACTATTGCTCTTCATAACTATGTACTTAGTTACTTTGTTTAATACCCAGGAGCAGAGAAGAAGACTTTCAAAGAGATACAGAGATACTATATGATCTATATAGCCCCACCCTAGCACCAGGAACCCCTGACCCTGGGGCCATGAATTTCACACTTCTGGTAGAGGGCTCAATGCTTCTTACAATCATGCCAACAGTTTGACTGCTTGATGTCCAGGAGTAATGAAGATTTTTAAAGATTGGCGGTTTTAGCCCCACCCCTCAGGCCCCATGGGCGCAGGGATAGCAATAGGTCACCTGAGTGACTCAGGTGATCTAAAATATATACATAATTAATTTAAAGCATAAATGCACATGCAATATGCATTGCTATGCTTATGTTCATAATAAATAAAAACGTGAGTGTCACATTCTCCCCCTGGTGCAAGAATGGCATCAACTTCATTGACCAAACCCGAGAATGCAACAACAACAAAAATTCTGAAAAAGTTAATAGCGGTATAAAATAAGGTTAAAACATCACTTACCTGTGATTATGAATATAAGCTTGATCGATGGTGTCAAAAACTCCACTAGCAACTAATGTTTGTAAGTATTTTACTCTTTGTAACCATTCTGGTGAATGAACCTGGTGTGACATAACATAGTCCTCCGTCCACTTTGGCCTGACTATTTCTAGTTGACTTTCGCTGTGAGGGAGTAGGATGTTCCACTATCTCCTCAACAAAAGTATCTACATCTGTTTTTGTCTCCTCTTCTGCTTGTGTTTCTATAGAAGGACTACCTTCTTTTTTTCTTCAGCAGGGGGATCTCCTATTGAGTCATCCTCAGAAACGAGTTCTTGAAGAACATCGTCGTTAAGAATTGCTGATTCTGACTCTGGACCTTGGTCAACATCATTAGTTGAATCACTAGTGGACAATGGAGCATCCTCCATATTCTGGTTCTTTGTACCGGTACTCAATATATAATATTCAGATTCATAATCATCGTCATCATCATCCTGTAATGCAGGTGATTTGGACTCTTTTTTTTTTTTTCTCAGGTGAATGTTTTTGCTTCATCCTCGTCCTTGGTGCTGGAACTGGTACTGGAGAAGGGAGGTTTGTTCCTATAGGTAAAAGGAAGTTCCGATGCAGGGTTTTACATCTGCCTTCCCCATCCTCTCTTCTTACCCTAAAGACGGGAATAATGATGCTACGCTGGTCTATGATGACATAGAGGTGATCTTCCCATCGGTCTGCAATCTTATGCTTTCCATCATAAGCAACCACTTTCACCAATACTCTGTCTCCAGTACTCAGTGCTACTCCTTTTGTTTTAGAGTCATACAAGGCCTTCTGTCTGGATTGGCTGTTCTTTGTTGCTGTATTTGCTATATCATAAGTTCTTTTAAGACGTTCCTTTAGGTTTTGAACATAAGTTGAAAAGCTCTTTGTCTTCTCGACATTGAATAAACCGAACACAAAGTCAACAGGTAAATTTGGTTCCCTTCCAAACATTAGGTAGAATGGGATATATCCTGTTGTTTCGTGTCTGGTGGCATTGTATGCATGTATGAGTGGTCCTATGTAGGCTTTCCAGTTGTTGGACTTTAGTTCTGGTACAAGTGTTCCAAGCATGGATATTAAAGTTCTATTAAATCTTTCGGTGATCCCATTACCCATTGGATGGTAAGGGGTGGTTCTTGACTCGGAAGTACCTGTAATTTGACATAATTCTTGAATTGGTTTACTAGAAAATTTGTACCTAGATCCGAATGAATTTGTCTTGGAAGTCCGTATGCATTAAAGAAGTGGTTCAGCATGGATCTGGCTTCTGGTTGGGACAGCAACTGCAAATTTAGTAAAATGATCAGGTATTACCAAATATTTTAAATACCACCTTCAGATGGTTCTAGGGTCAAAAAGCCCAAGGCTGTTGGTAAGCCTAATAAGGAGGTTGTTGGTAAGCCTAATGAAGATGCATTTAGTAAACCTAACGGAGGGGCCGTTTGTAAGCCTGAGGAGGAGCCCCAGGACTCCCTCGGTAATACAAATGTTCGCGCTGATCTCCAGAGATAATC